TAAATATATGCACTTAGATCTATTTCCCCATCCTCATCTATAAATATATTTACATGTGTGCATGCCTTTATTTAGACTTCTATAAATGCCCTTTGCCTCCTAGTTCTTTCTTGTATTTCCTTTTACTTTCCTTTTGTCTCACTGTCATGTCATTTGTCTTACTGTCCTTTTGTCTCACTCAGCCTTCATTTGGGTTTCAGTAATTCCTCTCAGTTACGTTGCCCTTGATCAAACCCTATCAGACCTTCTACACCCTTCTTGCCATCAATTTTGGATCACTTGTTGTTCCCTTGTCCCTGGGTTTGTTAACACCCACTTTCTTTCCTCCGCCTCCCCCCTCTTCCATGTCCACCCCCCCAACTGTCGGTCCTGTTGTTTTCTCCTCCAGATTGTTTATCCCACCTATCGTATGTACATAGACCTGCAGAGATAATAATATGCACAACAAACAAGACAGAGCAAAACAAAGTACCAAAAGAAAACAAAACAATGACAAAAAAGAAAAGCCTGTAAATAGTTCGAGGTCTGTTTATTGACCTTCAGGAATGTTTTCCAGTCGAATCTGATGGGGTGCCATGCCCCCACCCCAAAGTCTATTTTTGGTATTCCCTTGGGACTTCGTTGCTCTGCTCCCCTTGTTCTCTTGCATGCCCGTAATGTTTTACCTCGGTGTGATGGGGTCAGGTCCGGCACAATTCCCGCACCGTGTCTCCAGTGTTGTCCCTCATAGGTCTGTGGGTCAGTGAGGGATGTCGTGTCGTAGTGGGGCTGGCCCTATGGTCCTCTCTGTGCATTGACTGTTCTGAGCAGGGATATCATCCTCAAGGCTGGGCCAGGATGTGCTCCACTCTCTCTTCCTCCCCCATCATTTGCTCCTGTGTGCTCTGATCAGACATGTCCCTCTCCCTGAGCTGCAGCTTCAGTGCTGTCCTCTGAAGTAAATTCTTCTAGGGGTACATTTCTTTTTCAAATACTTTAATTGATTCAATCACTTAAAATTAAAACGCTACCCAACAAAAACTAGAAGAAAACTTGATACAAGCTGTTTTTCTGGCAAGAAAAGAAAGAATACTAAGTTTAAGACAATGATACTGATTTATGTCTGGTAGCATCAAGTTTTCATGTATCTCAATAGATAAAAAGTTAAAATTCTGCACTCTGAAATAAAATTTTTCACCAAATTCACTTACAACAATTATGCTTGTTTTTCTTTGTAGTTACATTCGACGAGGCGAAAGTCATTGGTGGATGAAGGGCTCAACGCCTACCCAGATCTCAGAGATCATTATTAAGCTCATTAAGGATATGGCCGCAGTAAGTGCCTGTCCTTCCTGTCGGTGGGGTATGACAGTCATCTGACAAATAGAATAAACCACTTCTTCCATGAAATCCCCACGAGACCTTTAGTAATGTTGTTTCATTTTACTTAAAGGCTACTGTTAGGTTGGGAAACCCGCGTGGGGTGCTGTATTACTCCTCTGACTGCTAACCTCAAGTTCAGCAGTGTGAACCCACCCAACTGATTTATAGGAGAAAGATAAGGCTTAAGTGTTTGTTTAGTTATCTCTTGAATCATCAAAATCATGATTAAAAACTGAGTTTTTCCATAGGCTTGTAAAGAAGATTTCTAATTTAAAAGTCTGTACCCCTGACCTGAAATTCTCCAGTCTTCCTACAAACCAATAAATCCCCCCTCCCCCTAATGAGACTGAATTTACTAATATGATAATAATATATCTGGTTATTTAATAAAATAACTGCCTTGTTTGGTAGGGTCATCTGTCAGAAGCCTGGTCCCGAGTGACGAAAAACGCCATTGCAGAAACCATCATTGCCCTGACCAAGATGGAAGAGGAATTCAGGTCTCCAGTAAGATGCATTGCCACAACCAGGGTAGGTTTATGTGTCTCTGGTCTGTGTCGTTTTATGTTCTTTTTCGGTCATAGATTTTAAC